AAAGTCACTTTTTTTTGTCTTTCGAGGCTCGTTGCTCATAATAGCACAGTGCGTCTTACGACTGACATTGAGCGGGGCAGACAGAATATATATATATATAACAGTATTAACAGTACATCATTATGACAGGTATGCATTTGTGAATAAAAATGCTTCAGCTGATATTTGAAAATGTAAATTGTTGGGGCAGATCTCATTTTATATGGGAGTTCGTTCCATACCTGGGGACCAAAGAACAAAAAGGAACGCTCGCCGTATGTTTTGTAATTTTGTTTTGGAGTTTTAAAAATTAGATTATCAGAGGCTGCTCTAAATTAAGGGCTCTAGGTGGATGATATAATTCCTGGAATGTTTTAAGATAAAAGGTGCAGTATCATTTATACATTGAAAACAGAGAGTGGCAGTTTTGTATTTGATCCTTTCTTATATTTGCAGTCAGCGTAGTTCTTTCAGAATTGGTGTTACATGTGCTGATTTCTTTTGTTTCATTATCAATTTTGCTGCTTGATTTTGGAGTACATGTACTAGTAACTTTGATAGTTCTTCGGTCGTCAAAGCGGCCAAAATATCATTATAGTTACAGTAGTCTAACTTTGATAAAATCAGTTTTGGTACACGTGTCTTGGCTGCTGTTTTAGTTAAATAATTTCTTACACTGCCAATTTTCTTAAGCTGAAAGTAAATACTTTTGCTGAGCTGGCTAATTTGGGAGGACATCATCCAGTGACATCTGCGACAGATATCGGCGATCATGGTTCTCCATTCATTCCTTTGATTGGATGCTCTAAAAAAAGCTACGTAATACGTGTCCCTGATCTTTCCCTGTTACCCATTTGTTTAGGTTCCCTAAGTATGTTGTTCTGGGTCTTCCCCTGCCTCGCTTGCACTCAATTTTGCCAGTGAGAGCTAGATGTTCAAGACCCTTATGTCTATTTATGTGTACCAAAAACTGCATTTGTCGTTTCCTGATTGTTTTTAACATTGAGCGTCCCACGTGGACTTCATCAAGCACTACCTCATTTGATTTCCTTTTCTTCCACTATACAGGCCTACTCTTAGCAGTTTCCTAAGAAACCACATTTCTGTAGCTTCTAATCTATTTTATTTTCACTGTCTTTAGTGACTGTCCAGCATTCACAGCCATATAGAAGGGTTGACCAAACATAGCATTTCAGAACTTTCATTTTGGTGTTCATTAAGATGTTTCTATTTTTCAGGATTGGGCTCACTTTATTGAAACTAGCCTTAGCCATCGTAATTCTCCGTCTTATTTCTGTGGAACATTTGGCGTCAGATGTTATCATATATCCAACTGAACTCCTATATTTCTATATTTTTAATACTTCTTTTTGAACGAATGGTATAGGCTACATATCAGTTTGTAGTTCTGGGAGATTTCTAGTGTCTTTTGTATTTCCACTCAACATTATTTCCGTCTTGTCATCATTTAGTTTCAATTTATTGTTGATCATCCATATTTTAAATTGTTGAATACATTTCATTGTTCAGTAGAGTCGACTAAAGGTGGTATTTGATCAAAATCAATAGACCTATAAATCTGAGTGTCATCGGCATAAATAGATGGTAATTCATACCATGTGGTCTTAAACTACCCGCAAAAGGTTGTGTATATATAATAACAGACGAAGAACAAAAATGCGTTGCGTAACTTTATTGTTAAATATCTCCAGAACTATCGAACATAGATTCTCCAACTTTTGCACTATGACTTATATCAATTTGTCTTCACAGGTGAATATAAAAAACACACCTGCTCACTGTATTCTAGAAAATTCCTCAATAAATACTAATTTAAAGATTTTAAAAAGTTTACAGCATGGGAAATATCATTTTTAAAAGCAAGTCTGTCTTTTTAAAATATTTTTTTAACTAATAGTAACGTTATGCTTATATTAAACGTATGTTTAGGGAACCTGCCTTTAGTGCCAAAAATGTGTTCACTATGAAATTAATTTCTTGTAAGAAGTTTTGCCACTAAAAAGTGTCATTGACGAGCTGTGACGTAGATAGATTCTAAGCCATATATATATATATATGCGTATGCAAAATGTGTGCGAGAAATGGGAAGTGCTATGAACTATGAACAATCATATTTTCCGGGGGCATGATGGAGATTTATAGTAGGCCCTACATGTATTTAATATACATTTATGTAGAAAAGTTTCTAAATTGAGCCTCAGTTGTTGTGGAAAAATGTGATTAAGTTAAGACAAATTGAAACAAACTGATGTGCAAAGCATGGGTGACATTGATTCTCCCGTTAAAGATATATTTGAGGATCAGTTGGGCCATGAATTTTTGACCGCACTGTAGTAGACTCTGTGCTCGCGAGACACTTTGGCAAAGGCTGTGCTAGCAGCTTGAAGTCGGAACAGGTCCGGTGGTGCAGAGTTGGTCAAAGCAGGTCAAAGTTTACATTGCTTGGTCTCTGGTACTGGTCTCTGGTTAAAGCAGAGAGTTTAGAGAGACGGCACTTCGCCCGGTTGCGCGTATCTGGGTCACCAGCTGATCGTGGAGAAACGCGCGGTAAACAAAACAAACTGCGTCCATTGTTCTCAAGTTCAAGGCATTTACGTTGATCGCTGACAAGCACGGCCCCGGTTAGCACGAAGTGTCAATGGTGTTCTACTATAAACTGCACCTATTAAAATAAAAATCTGAGTTTCTTTCGATTTCCAAAGGATGACGAATATTGTTGTTTTGATGAATAGAAAAATATGGATCAAAATAATGACAATATGAAATGATTGTGGTCCTACCAGACTGACACTCCAAGCACAAACTCAACACACTTCAACTTTTGAGCCTGCATTCTACTAGTGAAAGATATGTCTAAAAGTTTTCTAAAT